TCGAATGCTAGATATAATGATGATCTATTTGTAATGTTGACAGTTCTGATATATTCTAAATTAATTTGATATTGAGATATATACGTTTATTTATTGATACAAATATCTTCTTTTATTACTTAATTATCTATACATCTTATTGAATTAGCAAACTATGATATTAGTCAAAAAATGTGTACTAATAAATCTTTTCTGAGTTACTAGGAAAAAATATGTTGTAAATCAAGATTGAAACTTTGATTTTATCCTAGGCTGCTCTTCGACATGAAGATGGTGACGATGAAGCAACAGTTGCACAGTCGATAAGGTATGTAAACATATATATTTGTTTGTTATGCATGATGACTTTTAACAAACGACTTTTTTTGATGAGAAATTTTCGAAGAAAAAAAAATAACATAAAATTTTCATTTTTGAGAATTTTGTTTCAAGGGAAAAATTCTTATCACACAGTTCTATGAAATTAGCTTTACCAATTTGTTTTCTTTATCAATCCCAGCATGTTTGTGTTCCTTACACGATAAACCCCCATGCTTATCGCTTTAAATAGACGTGTACCACGTACAAAATCAATATTTGAACGAACATCATCACGTCGGTATTCATCGGTTGATTATGATACAAATGGTTACTATGATCATCAACGAGAATGTATTGTATTTGATAATAATCATAATGGAAATAATCATGATAATCATTTTAATTTAAATCCTTCAATGTTATTACAAAATGATCATGATGATTCAATGGTTTTATTAAATGGATTTGAACCTCTGACTACTGTGTCACTTGATAATGAAGACGATAGTGATGAGTATGCTTTGCATTTCTTTTACAAAAACACTCTTCTGTTTCTCCTTTTACAATTCTTTTATTTGCTTTGCTTTGATATTTCTTTTGCTATTTATTGGATTTTGATTTTATTAAATTTTATTAATTTATCATAGACGTAAAACACGAGTTAAAAGTGCTACACATGAACGACAAAGTATGCGACGAGGCTCACTGGGTGCAGTTCCAATTTCTCAGAAAAAAGAACAAGAAGTGTAAGAGAAAACGAAAAACATTTGAAATATAGTCTACTTTTATTTTTGAAATAAATATTTCTTGTTTAGACCGAAGACAGCAGTACCACCACCTGATAGTAGTGCTATACGGCGTATGCAAAATCGATGGGAAGCAGAAACTCAACAACGTGAAGCTGCTGCAGCCAAAGCTCAAGTACCCAAAGCACCAACAGCTGCACGTACTGGTCGTGATCGGTGGGCGGCAGCACCTAATGATGCTCAAACATCACCATCTGTTGATACTCATATCGTTCCGTCCACTCGTTTTACACGTCCATCAGCTACTGTTGATACCGTTGCATCTCCTCCACCTACTTCACCTCAACAACAACAACAACCGCAAAGTCCTCGTGGTAATGAAACAAAAGTATTTTCACGACCACCACTCAATCATCAAAAGAGTTCAACTGGTGGTAGTGCAGTTGAAGCATTATCACGTCAAATTAGTTTGTCATCAATGGGTGGAAATGAGACTTCAGCAACAAATGGTCAACCAGCTATTGTTGTTAAAGATACGAAAGTAACACCATCATCAGAACTTATGGGTGCTGTAACACGAGCTAAAGATAGTGAGTTTTGAATAATGAATACATTTGTATATAGTAATATTTAATATTCAATCATATAGGTTTGCAACAAGCAACAAAGCCACCACCATTCGCAATACCTGGTGTTGGTTTATCTGCTCAATTGCCCGATGCAATGCTATCGAAACCTCGTTCGGATAATGATCTTCAATGGGAATCTGTTGTTGGCAAAATTCTTTCACGTAAACTAATTGTCCAAGGTCTCGATTTTGAAGAATTAGATGAACGAGACGATGCAAATATTATGGCACTTGGAGGTGCTCGAGCTGGATTTCCTCCACCGCCACCAATGATGAACAGTAGCGGAGGTCCTCCACCACCCCCGCCAATGATGATGGGAGGCGGTCCACCACCTCCACCGCCACCGATGAT